AAGTGGGGACAGAGAGAGACAGAGCATGAACGGGGGAGGGGCAGAGAGAGAGGGAGACACAGAATCGGAAACAGGCTCCAGGCTCCGAGCCATCAGCCCAGAGCCTGACGCGGGGCTCGAACTCACAGACCGCGAGATCGTGACCTGGCTGAAGTCGGACGCTTAACCGACTGCGCCACCCAGGTGCCCCTCAGCTCTTCTCTTTTAAGGAATTTATTTAAGGACAAAAACTGGACAAACAGGAAAAAATGTATATTTATAGGGGTATTCATTAAAGTATTATTTTTAATTGCAAAAATTTGAAATAACCAAAATGCTCGTCAGTGAGGGATTTCTCAAATAAATTATAGTGTATCCATAACCGTAAAGGGGTAATGCTCATCTCTATAGTAACATGAGATATCCAGGGTATATAGTTGAATTTAGACAGCATGTGAAAGAGCATATACATTATCTTTCCATGTGTTTATATAGTTAAAAAAAAAATGTAGATCTAGATATGTTTTTCAGACCCAGAAAGAAAAACATCAGATGTTAATAGTATAAGGCATAAGATTTTAAAAGGGTGTCATTTATGGGGCGCCTGAGTGGCTCAGTTGGTTAAGCGTCTGACTTTGGCTCAGGTCATGATCATGCAGTTCGTGAGTTCAAGCCCTGTGCTGGATCTGTGCTGACAGCTAGCTCAGAGCCTGGAACCTGTCTTCAGATTCTGTGTCTCCCTCTCTCTCTGTCCCTCCCATGCTCGTGTGCTCTCTCTCTCTCTCTCTCTCTCTGTCTCAAAAATAAGTAAAACATAAAAAAAATTTTTTTTTTTTTTTTTAATTTTTGGGACAGAGAGAGACAGAGCATGAACGGGGGAGGGGCAGAGAGAGAGGGAGACACAGAATCGGAAACAGGCTCCAGGCTCCGAGCCATCAGCCCCAGAGCCTTACGTGGGGCTCGAACTCACGGACCGCGAGATCGTGACCTGGCTGAAGTCGGACGCTTAACCGACTGCGCCACCCAGGCGCCCCAAACATAAAAAAAAATTTTAAAGGGAGTAATTTTAAGTTTTTCTGTTACACATTTCTGCATTGTTTTAACTTTTAAACACACACTGCTTTTTATAATTAAAAATCTGTATCATTCCAGGGTGGGCAGGAGTGCAAGTTTGACAATTAATAGATAAGACATTCCTGGATAAGAAATAGCTAAAACAGCGTAGGGGCACCTGGGTGGCTCAGTCAGTTAAGTGTCCCACCTTGGCTCAGGTCATGATCTCATGGTTCATGAGTCTGAGCCCCACATCAGGCTCACTGCTGTCAGCACAGAGCCCACTGCAGGTCCTGTCTTCCTCTCTCTCTGCCCCTCCCCAACTTGCACACAGACTGAAAAAATTTTAAGTTTTTGTATATTTACTGTTCATACTGATTATTCTATATACTACCAAAACTTACCTCTTCAATTCTTGACTTGCCCAATTCTTAGAAACTGTCATATGTACCTCACAGATGATTTCCATTTAGTGATCGCTATGCTATTCAGCCATTGCCTGTTTTCATTCAGTTATGTTTTCATTCTGTTCCACATCCCACATTTGTTATGATGTAGGATGAATTAGATTCTGAAATACACGCTGACATAAACCTAGTACATTTGACCAAAAACTATTTACTCTGGTTGATTAGAGGGAAGAAAATGTTCATTTGAATGGAGTGGTCATTCTTCACTATAGCATCAGTTTACTCTCAAATGGTTCCCTTGACTACTAGAAATCAACTTTTATACCTTGAAAGACAATCTTACTACTAAGATTGTCAAATTTGGAGGAACACATAACTTTTCTAGGATTGAAATTGGTTTTGGAATAGTATTGGTAAATTCTAACTCTTAAGTTGGGTAATGAGTTGTTATTTTTAGTTGTTATGCTTTATAACTTATATGTTCATGATATTCCTTTGTATCAGGTATTAATTTTTAAAGGAAAAAAACTAGATGGGGAGTTTAGGGTCTAGTTGGTTTAGTCTGTGTTCACTATTTCATTAGTTCACTGATCAATATGTTTTTTTTATTAATTTTTTTAATGTTTATTTTTGAAAGAGAGCATGTGTGAGCAGGGAGGGACAGGATCCCAAGTGGGCTTTGCACTGACAGCAGAGAGCCCAATGTGAAAGTACAAAACCTTTTTTTCTCCCTCATGCCAGCCATGTAAAGAATGGTATGATTTTTCAGTGTCTTGATTGATCTAAAATTGGTTTTGTTTTCAGATGGTGGCCAGCAGAGATCTGCAATCCCAGGTCTGTGCCACTGAACATCCAGGGCCTTAAGCATGACTTGGGGGACTTCCCTGTGTTCTTCTTTGGTTCTCATGACTACTATTGGGTACACCAGGGCAGAGTGTTCCCTTATGTTGAAGGAGACAAAAGTTTTGCTGAGGGACAGACTAGTATTAACAAGACCTTCAAAAAAGGTAAGTTGGATGATGTTTACAGTGGCTCAAAACCAAGACTCAGCGGTTGATTTCTCTGTGTCTCCTCACTTGCACTTGACATGTTTCTGGTATTAGAGAACTTTCACCAGGTGTTACAATCCAGCATCCAGAAGTATCCAATCACATTAGAGCACATCTTATCCAATCAGTTAGAAAAATACATTTCAGTATGGTAGACTCTGCTGTCTGTATGAAAAGAGTATCTTCAGTGATCTTTCTACAAACATAGAGATTATTTTGGAAATAGTCTTCTTAATCCAGTGAGGCACCTTTGCCACAGAAGAGTAGTAAAAGCTTCCCATGAAGTGCCTTATAAGTGTTTTTGCAACAAGTTTCCAGGAAGTTTGACTTTCTGGGTAAGAGTAAAAGGAATTTAAATCTAGTACAAGATAAAAAGCTGGGTTTTTTTGGTTGGTTGGCTATTTTTTTGCTTTACTTGGAAGACTCTGATTATTGAAGTAGGACCTCTTCTCTAAGGCAATGGCTTACGCAGAGCACAGTGTTCAGCTATAAACGAGTTATGTCCTATTTCAGCGTTATCCTATCCTGGTGGAAAATGGTCATTTCCAGAATAATTTTAAAAAGAACACCCCAGGCCAGATTCAGGGCATTGGGAAGGCAATGTAAAACTGCTCTCCTAACAGTCTTTGTTTTTTGTTTTTTTGTGTGTGGTTTTTTTTGTTGTTGTTATTTATATACTTTGTTTTGTCCTATTGGCAGCACTGGAAGAAGCTGCAAAACGTTTCCAGGAATTGAAAGCACAAAGAGAAAGCAAAGAAGCACTTGAGATTGAAAAAAACTCAAGAAAACCCCCTCCTTACAAACACATCAAAGTGAGTCGTTACCCATGAAACATTGGTATTTGACAGGCAAGAGGAAATGCATCGCCCTCTTAGTAATTAGAAGGCCCTTTTTGACTTATGAAGACTTTTACTGATTATCACCCAGTCTTCTGTAAAGCAAACTGAGAGCTTTTGTTGGAAGCATAAAATGGGAGCCATAGCCACTGTGCTGTGAGGAGGAGTCTTTGATAAGCCCTCTCACACCTACGAGCAGCATGTTCCCTGTGAAACCTTGTTCTTGCCCTACCAGGCTATCCTGCAGCAAGTGAGAGGATAGGTTATTTAGCTCCTTTACAAATTCTAGAAAGCCCACAGTTGCTTTTAGTTATAAATGCTCATTAATTTAGTAGAAGAAATACACATGATAAATAAGTGAGAATTCACATCAGATTTTGATATTTGTGTCCAGTATGAAGAGGCCATTTTATTCTTAGCTTGTTCTTAAGTTATTCAGGGGGAAATTGAAATCAAGATATATAAAGAACCTTTCTCAGAATCACACCACTATAGCAAAGCCAAGAATTTCATGGTTGTGTGAGGTTCCTGTTCAGATTCCTCCCTCTCATTCGTGACTTGGTTTTCCAGGCTAACAAAGTAATAGGAAAGGTGCAGATCCATGTTGCAGACCTGTCAGAGATCCCCCGCTGTAACTGCAAGCCTGCTGATGAGAACCCGTGCGGCCTGGAGTCGGAGTGCCTAAACAGGATGCTGCAGTACGAGTGCCACCCGCAGGTGTGCCCGGCTGGAGAGCGGTGCCAGAACCAGTGCTTTACAAAGAGGCTCTACCCTGATGCAGAAATCATCAAAACAGAACGGAGAGGCTGGGGCCTCAGGACCAAAAGGAGCATTAAGAAGGTAGCCTGGGACAGAGGCCATGGGGGCGGTGAGACAGACCAGGGCTGTGCCTCTCAGAAGATGCTTCATCTCCTCCTAGGGGTGAAATACATAGGGATTTTTGGCAAAATTTTGAAGCTTCCCAAGTTGAAAGTTTGGCACTTCTTGAGCAGAGCAGAAGTGGTAGGAAGAGGCAGTAATAAAATGCACATAAACTTTGGATGTCCTATGGTCAGTCATAAAAAGGAGAAGGGACATTGGTCATTTCCTTTTTTTTTTTTTAATCTGATTTTAATTGACTGTCTTTATACATTTTTTTTTTTTTTACATTTATTTTTGAGAGACGAAGCACACGTTGGGGAGGGGCAGAGAGGGGGGGGGGAAGACACAGAATCCGAAGCAGGCTCCAGGCTCTGAGCTGTCGGCACAGAGCCCAACGTGGGGCTCAAACTCACAAACTGTGAGATCATGACTTGAGCCGAAGTCGGAGGCTTAACTGGCTGAGCCACCCAGTTGCCCCTCCTTTTTTATTTTATTTTTTTAAAGCTTATTTATTTTGAGAGAGAGAGAGCACAAGCGAGGGAGGGACAGAAAGAGAGAATCCCAGGAAGGTTCCACGCTCAGCATCAAGCCTGACACAGAGCTGGATCTCATAACCATGAGATCACAACTTGAGCCAAGATCAAGAGCCAGACTGAGCCACCTAGGCACCCCCATTGGTCATTTTCTATTTGAAATATTTTTGACCTGTTAAGCAAAAGAGATGTAAAAGGCTTAGTAAAAGCAAAAGAGTATGAAGGTCAGAACATACTGGGATGGAAACTAGCAAACCCAAGCTTTGCACCAATGTCACAATTCCTTGGCTGTGAGGATGTGGCCAAATCACTAACCTCCTTGAGCCTCAGTTTCCTCCACTCTCAAGCGGATGTATCATAACCCTTGCCCTACACTCTTAAAAGGGTTGTTGCCAGTCTCAAATTAGAGTATATGTGCAAAAGCAACTGGCAAAGGTTGAGATCTTTAACACTTATAAATTGTCTTCATTCTTGGGGCCCCTGGGTGGCTCATTCGGTTAAGTGTCTGACTCTTGATTTCAGATCAGGACATGATCTCACGGTTTGGCTCGTGGGTTTGAGCCCTGAGTTGGGCTCCACACTGACAGTGCAGAACGTGTTTGGGATTCTTTCTGTCTCCTGCTCTCTATGCCCCTTCCCCACTCGTGCACGCTTGCTTGCTTGCTCTCTCTGTCTCAAAATAAATAAACTTTAAAAAAATAAATAAATTATCTTCATTCTTACATTTTGAGGCGCTTTTTCCAAGCGGTCTCTTTGAAGAAAAATTTTTAAATGCAAATAACTCAAAAAAGAATGAAAATCACCAGCAAATCCTAGTGTTCAAACAGTGGCTCTCAAACTTCAGAGATCCCAGGAATCTCCTGGGATCTTTGTTGAAAACAGTGTCCTACTGAACTATCTAGGGACAAGCCTGAATAGTGTGCGGTTTCAAATGAGGCCCCCTTTCGGCCCTCTCTTCCATCCCCCCCACCCCTCCACTCCCCGCCACTTGCCCAGGGCCAGTAGCGAACTAGCAAGAGTGCAGAGACTCTCAGTGAGAGAAGGTGGACATAGTGGGAATTAAAATTACTCTTGACATTTTTCTACCTGTAAAAAAAAGAAAAATCATCTTTGTGGTTAAAAAGTACTGTAGGAAAGAGAAACAATACAAAAAAGATAATAAAGAGTGAAATTCTTTCATCCCTTCAATTCCTGGTCTCCTCACCAGAGATGACCATTGTTAATAGGTTGTCATGTAGCCTTTTATGTATACAAATACATAGTCCTATATCCTATACTTCTAGAATCTTTAAAAACAAATATACATATTATTTTATCCCACTTAATGTATCATAAACATCCCTTTATGACAACCCATATAGATTTCTGCTCATTCTTTCTTTTTTTTGCTCATTCTTTTTTAACTAAACTCCCATTGTATTCTATAGTAAAATGTACCATAACTTATAACCTATCTTCTAATAACCTTTATATATATATAATTTATTTAATTCTGTAGTGAACATTCTTGATTTTCTGTCTTCATGCACCCATTTCTATAGATTAGATCACCTGAAGCGAAACTCATTCATTAAGCACATGTTTGTGAAGCTGCTTCTATGTGCCAGGTACTACTCTAGGCATTTGGAAAAACAGTAGTGAACAACATACCTTTGTGGGTCTGCTAGAGACAGGTAATAAACAGATATGTAATGCTAGGTACCACTAAAATGCTGCAAAGAAAAATAATACTGTCAAAGGGGATGGCTGGTGACAGGAATTGTTATTTTAAATTCCTTGGTTAAGGAAGGCTGAGGAGTGCCATTTGACCTGAACAATGAGGAAAAAAGCCATGCATTTCAGGCTGAAGAAAGAGCAAAGACAGGGGCCTTAGCATGCTCCAGGCACAGCAGGAGAGCTAGTGCATCTGGAGAAGAGTGAGGAGGAGAGGGGTGAGAGGCAGGAGATAGCAGAGAAGGTAGCCTGGGGCCAGATCTTATGGGAACTTAGAGACCACAGGAGGGAGACTTCTGGAAGTTGTTAGTGGGAAGTGACTTGATCTGACTGGATGTATTCATTTTCTATTGCTGCCTGACAATAATACTACAAACTTGGGAGCTTATGATGTTACACACACTTTATTTTCTCACAGTTTCTAGGGGTCAGGAGTTGGGCAGTGCTTGGCTGGGTCCTCTGCTTAGGGTCTCACAAGGTTTCAGTCAAGATGCTTCTAGGACTGGATTTCTCATTCTTGTGCCCCAACTAGAGAAGGATATACTTTCCTGCTTGCATGGCTATTGGCAGAATTCTGCTCTTTGCAGCTATAGGTCTGAGAGCTTCAGGTGGTTTTTGTTTGGGGTTGTTGTTCTTGTTGTTGTTTTGCTGCTATTAGCCTCTAGAGGCTGCCCATAATTCCTTGCCACATGGAGTTCCCCGACTTGGCTATTTGCTTCCTCACAGCCAACAAGGGAGAGATACTCCAGCAAGATGGATGCTAAAGTCTTGATGTAACAGACTCCCAGAATCACATACATTCTGTCATCTTTGCCGTATTCTATTGGTTAGAAGCAAGTCGCAGGTCCTACTCACTCAAGGAGAGAGAATCACACCACGGCATGAGCGCTGGGAGACAGGCATCTTGGGGGCTGCCTTAAGTATCCGTGTCCCACCCTTGTGTTTCCGAAAATTAACTCTGGCTGTAGTCTGTGGAATTTATGATCATGGGGAAGGGCTAACAAAAAGGAGACCATTGTTGTCCAGGAGAGAAATGATGGTGGCATATGGACTACCAGGGTTGTAGCTGAGCCAGAGAGAAGTGGGTACATTGCTGATATTTTGAAGGCGGAGCCAACAGGATTCACTGATCATTAAATATATGGATTGGATTGCTTGGCCAAAGGTCATTGACATTTAAAATGTCATTAGAATGCAAAATTTTTTTTAAGTTTTTTTTTTTTTTTTTTTAAGTAATCTCTACACCCGACGTGAGACTTAAACTCATGACCCCAAAATCAAGAGTCACATGCTCTTCTGACTGAACCAGCCAGGTGCTCCTAGAATGCAAAATTTTTGGTGGTACTTTTAAGCCATGCATATCACATACATAAATTTTGCCTATGACTTCAGGGGAGGTGTAGGGGCTATCCTGAAATTTATCCAGTTTAATATCATGTTAATGTCTTTTATTAATTTTTTAATGTTTATTTATTTATTTTTGAGTTGGAGGAGGAGGGGCAGAGAGAGGGAGACAGAGGATCCCAAGCAGGCTCTACACTGAAAGCGAAGAGCCCGATGTGGGGTTTGAACTCATGAACCATGAGAACATGCCCTGAGCTAAATAAAGTCAGACACTTAACCAACTGGGGCACCCAGGCGCTCCTAACATCTTTTAACAGTAGTTGCATTTATTTTAAAATGTATTCTAATTTATTAAATTGATATAATCAAGAGAAAAGAAAATACAGTCAGGATTATTCTGTCCAGTAGCACTTGAGGAATTGCTAATGTAAGACAATTGCTCTTTTACAAAATAGTTGGAAGTATATATTCCTGAAAAGCAAAATCATAAAGACTTAGTAGCAGCATGGAAAAGATTTTTGGTACATTGAGGGACAAAGGCCAAATATGGAATTTGATTGTACACAGCCAGCCCTCTTCCTTTCGCACATAACAGATCCTTGCAAATGTGGGCCAGAGCCAAACAAGGGACTTCCTGTAACAAGGTGATTTCTCTCTTCAAAATTAAGAAAATATATATTAAATACTGAATTACAGCTTACCTTTTTGCCATAGTCTTTGAGGACAGATTTCTAGCTCTATTAAAGTTCTTGTTTTGTTATTTTTATTCATAATTTAATTCATAGTTAATGGGTATTTTTTGAGTTTTTGTTTTTTTAAAGGTTTTATATTTTTTTTTTAAACTTTTTTTTCAACGTTTTTATTTATTTTTGGGACAGAGAGAGACAGAGCATGAACGGGGGAGGGGCAGAGAGAGAGGGAGACACAGAATCGGAAGCAGGCTCCAGGCTCTGAGCCATCAGCCCAGAGCCTGACGCGGGGCTCGAACTTACGGACCGCGAGATCGTGACCTGGCTGAAGTCGGACGCTTAACCGACTGCGCCACCCAGGCGCCCCAAAGGTTTTATATTTTTAAATAACCTCCACATCCAACATGAGGCTCAAACTCACAAAAAAATAAAAGTATCACTACATTTTTGCCAATAAATTTGAAAATTTATGTGAATGGATTCTTAGAAAAGCATAATCATCACCACTCCCACAAAAATAAATTTAAAAATATGAATAGTTCTATAAACTATTAAAGAAATTGAAACTATCATTGAAAACCTTCCAACAGGGGCGCCTGGGTGGCTCAGTCAATTAAGCATCCTGCTTCAGCTCAGTTCATGATCTCAGGGTTTGTAGGTTTGAGCCCCGTGTTGGGCTCTGTGCTGACAGCTCAGAGCCTGGAGCCTGCTTTGGATTCTGTGTCTCCCTCTCTCTTGCTCTCTCTCTCAAAAATAAACATTAAAAAAAAAAAAAAAAAGACGTTCCAAAAAAGAAAACTTTAAGCTCAGATGGTTCCACTGGTCAATCTGCCAAACATCTAAAGTTAGAAATAATGTCAATTAGAATAGAATAGAATTGAATAGAAAGAAGGAACAAGACAGATGTGGTAAAAATATATGCAACAAAGATGATAAGGGATTATGTTTTGTTGCAAAGAGTTCACATATGGAGAAAATATATGCAACATATGAACAAAGGTGCCACCTGCATGCCAATGAATGACAACCACCATTTGTCTCTAGGGTTAAAGTTGTACTTCCAGCGGTCTTTCTGGTTAATTCTCTTGGATTACATTACACATACAGTGTTAAAGAATGCTTTCAAATATAACACACTGGTTTTACACTTATGTGTTATGTGCTTCTCTACAGGGTGAATTTGTAAATGAATATGTCGGTGAATTAATTGATGAAGAAGAGTGCAGATTGCGAATCAAGCGAGCCCACGAGAACAGTGTAACTAATTTTTATATGTTAACTGTTACCAAGGTAAAATTGCTTTTTTTTTGTAAGAAAAAAGGATTCTTGGTTTTTGTTTCATGGTCTTAGGTTGAACTCCGTTTCCTCTAACTTGATTTTTTTTTCCAGGAGAGTTAGAATGGTTTGAAGTAGCCAGTGTGCTACCAGCCACAGTGTGCTTCTTAACACCACAGTGCACCGTGGCTGGTTAGTGAAGCTTTGCATGTGGCATGTGAGGTGGCCCTGTGAGTGGAGAGACAGCCAGGACAGGGCAGACATGGTCACGGAAGAACCTGGCCCTCAGTTTCTCCATTACTGATGGAGACCATCAGCTCTGCCATGCTGAGTTCTAAAGCATCATTAAAGTTCTGATTTAGCAAAAATTCTCTGAATTGTTCTGTATACTGAAACTTCATGTCTGAGTTAGGACAAATGAAGGAAGCCATAAGCAGGATGACAGGAAAACTGCTAGTTTAATCCATGAGATTGTAAGCCACGTTTGCTGTGCGTTCTGTCTGTATCTCACCTCACTTCTGCAGCAGCCCTCTGCCATGCAGGGGACAAGAAACTGAGGTCCAGCCATGACAAGTGATCTGTTGAGTGCAGAGCAAAGACTAGTACCCATCTTTCTGGTGTTCCAGGCTATCCCTGAAACTGAGGGAATACCATTAAAAGTAGGAACTAGAAATCACTTAAAAGCTTATTCTCTTGGTGCCTGGGTGGCTCAGTCGGTTGAGCATCTGACTTAAGCTTAGGTCATGATCTCACTGTTTGAGACCCGCATCGGGCTCTGTGCTGATAGCTCAGAGCCTGGAGCCTGCTTCAGATTCTGTGTCTCCCTAACTCTCTGCCCCTCCCCACTCGCACTCTCTCTGTCTCTCTCTCAAAAATAAATAAATATTTAAAAAATTAAAAAAAAAAAAAAACTTACTCTAGGAGCGCCTGGGTGACTCAGTCGGTTAAGCGTCTGACTTTTGATTTCAGCTCAGGTCATGATCCCACGGTTCATGAGTTCAAGCCCCATGTCAGGCTCTGCACAGACAGTGCAAAGCCTGCTTGGGATTCTCTCCCTCCCTCCAGCATTCACACTGTCTCTCTCAAAATAAATAAACTTTAAAAACAAAAAAGCTTATTTTAGCTGATATGTCATTGTTTAACAGCTTTACAACTTTCATGATTGTAACTTTCATAAACATAAAATACCAATTATTTCTGATTACTGAGTAAGCCCTTCACATCCTCCCCTCACTGGCAGGGACCCTCCAGCCATCTTGACAATGCTGGGGAGGCCCCGTCCTCCAGAGCTTATCCAGATTATCAGAGTTTGAATTCAGGGGCCAGATTGTTGAGCTTTTGACTGTATTCTGAACATCAGTGTAAGTGAAACAGAAGGAACAGATGACTACTAAAGAGTATATCCCACACGACAGCCCTTCCATTGATCAAATCCCAAAGTCTTCATTCAGAGACCAAGTCTTTCATTTTTCCTCCTTCCCTCTCCGTGGCCTACACTCTTCTCCATTTGCCCCCATGGTCGTTTCGCTGCTTGAGCAGTGCAGGAAAGGAGGGCTGACAGCAGAAAACCATAGCTTCTACCCCACGCAGCTCACCGATCTCTCTGCTCTGGCATCACAGAATGCCCTTCCTCAGCCTGTGGCCAACTGATCTTCCACATAGCATTATTCTGTGGTCTATGTCTAGAAACAAACTGGAAGGAAGGAAGGAAGGAAGGAAGGAAGGAAGGAAGGAAGGAAGGAAGGAAAGAAAAGCTAAATTCTACTTTATCTTAAATGCTTTGACTTGAAGGTCATCAAATAAAGTCAAGAACTTAGTCAATGGCTCAGAGAGCACATGATGTCAGATTTGTCAGCCGTCAGACATCGGCTGGTAGCAAAAAGCTGCTCCCTGTGGCTCTTGACCAAGTTGGCTATTTCTGAGAGAGACTTGTACTTAGCTTTATGTTAAAGGCACCTTTCATTTCTTTTCTTTCTGAAGGACCGTATAATTGATGCTGGCCCCAAAGGAAATTATTCTCGCTTTATGAACCACAGTTGTAATCCAAACTGTGAAACACAAAAGTGGACAGTGAATGGAGATGTTCGAGTTGGACTTTTTGCTCTTTGTGATATTCCTGCAGGTAAAAAACCAGCTTGTTCCCCATGCCCTCTTCCCTGGGCAGGACATCCCTCAAGGTTTGAGGCTTAAGGATTTATTCAAATAAGATAGAATTCTATTTAGAATTATTATCTGCCGTTAAGAAGTGAAAATCTGTGTCCTGCAAAAGGGAGTTTAAGCAAGCAGAGAGGATGTCACAGAATTCTCTGGGTCCTTGACCCTAATGAATTACTTCTCCAAGTTCTTGCTGTCTGTGCGATATAACCAGATGCTTAAGCTTTTGTTTTCTTTTTTAAAGTATTAACATACTGTGTTAACTTCAACTGGTGTCTGGGCTTGTTTGGTGGGGGGGTGGGGGGTGTATGTTTTTTAGTTGGAAGATCATCTGTTTCAGGGTAGACATAAAAAGCTTCTGAAGCCAGCTGCTGCTTCCATTTTTCCTTACCCATCTAGCATCTTAACAGCAGAACTTAGTTTCTTCTCTGCTGGGTTTGTAGGAAAATGGGTAAGAAGAGAAGAACTATAGCTAGAAGAGATTAAAGGCATTCCCGACGTTGTGGCCTCTTCAAGACCAGCTAAGAGAAAGCTTGGACCTCCCAGCTCAAATCCCTGGGTCTTTGGTGTAAATAGTAAATCTGCGTGGTGAATTCTTTTCTGATCATAATCTAAAGCATTAATCACCAGAGATGGTATGGTCACCAAGATGCCATGGTCCTATTAGTCATTCAGAAATTGGTGTAAATTAGCTTTAGGAAAGCAACTAAACCAGAACCCATTTGTCTTGAGCACAGATTTTAGATTCTTAGTCTGTGTTACATGGATCTTGGCCACTTCAATGACGACTTCTGTAGACTATTTTTGCTGTCATCACTGGTGGATGGGGATGTTTTCCTCTATTGTTTTTCCCCATCACTGTCTTCTGTGTGGAACACGGGTGAGGGAAAAGCCTTCATGTCAGAATTATGTCTCTCTTTCATTGTGAGTGTGTGTCCGTGGCAGCATTTCTCTTCCCCATGATTTGAGTATGAATAATTATTTCTCTTGTTTTAGGGATGGAGTTAACATTTAATTATAACCTGGATTGTCTGGGCAACGGCAGAACGGAATGCCACTGTGGAGCAGAGAACTGCAGCGGCTTTCTGGGAGTGCGGCCGAAGGTCAGTCGTGAGGGAAGCAAGCACCCCAAGCCAGCGGGAAATCAGGAGTGGGGCTGCTCAAGAAGTGTATGACCATCTCAGGAAAATGCTGGCAAATGGGTACCTGGATTAGTTCGAGGGACAGTCGTTGTGGTAGCCAGAGCTTAGACTCTCTAACTTTCTAACGAAGCATATCTTAGTAAGATCTGTCAGGTTCTGAAAATGTGTCTGTATTTCTGATTGTTTTTGAAGTTACCAGTATCCTTTTCAAAACTTTTTTTTTAAAATTCACATTCTATTTAAAACCACTGAGTGAGGCGCTTTAAAATGTTTTGTGTTCTGGGGTGCCTGGGTGGCACAGTCGGTTAAGTGTCCGACTTCCGCTCAGGTCATGATCTCGTGGTTTGTGAGTTCGAGCCCCGCATCAGCTGTCAGCTCAGAACCCACTTCAGATCCTCTGTCCCCCTCTCTGTCTGCCCCTCCTCTGCTCGCTCACTGTCTCAAAAATAAACACTAAAAAAAAAATGGTGCGTTCTATGGTATGCGAATTATGTCTCAGTATCCTTGCAATTTAAAAAACAAAGCACCTTATTCAAAAGTAGTGAAAATGAAGCCATATTTTCATGTTCATACTGTTATGGGATAAGTCCTCCCAGTGGTTTTTAGGTCATTGAACAACCAAATTTAAAAGAGCTTAAATGAATGTGGGGTTGTGGGAGTTCCTTTTCTGTGTGAAGTTTCACGCACCGTGTTCAGTACAACTGTGATCCTTCTCCCTGCCAGCCAACATGTGCGTCAACAACTGAAGAAAAGGCCAAAAATGCTAAATTAAAGCAGAAGAGGCGAAAAATCAAAGCAGAACCAAAGCAGATGCATGAAGATTACTGTTTTCAGTGTGGAGATGGTGGAGAGCTGGTCATGTGTGACAAAAAAGACTGTCCCAAAGCATACCACCTCTTATGCCTTAACCTGACTCAGCCACCGTATGGTAAGCTAAACTCTTGAGACCCTGTCTCTGACATGCGTGTAATGTAAGAGGTACTTCACTGTCCTTCGTGGAGCCGTGGAATGGATGAGGCTGACTAGAACAGCCAACAATAGCAGACATAAAATATGCTCACGAAAAATGTATCCCTGCAAATAGGGAGTGGGTGCGGGCCAGCAGAGACTGGTCTCTGTGTCCCTATTGCCCTGGGTGAGCAGTTGGCTCCTGTGGCGTTGAGTTTCGGGCAGCAGCACGCCTCCGGGCTCACCGGTGCACCTGCTCGTAAGTTTGGCTGAAATTCGGAGTGGTGCTCAGGTGAACTCGGTCTCCAATCAGAGAAGACGGTGGGAACGGGAGTGTTTCACGGGTCGTCGAGGCGGGCACTGATGGGGCTCTTTTCCCTGTCCCCACCCCTCACTAGGAAAGTGGGAGTGCCCGTGGCACCAGTGCGGGGAGTGCGGCAGCGCCGCCGTCTCCTTCTGCGAGTTCTGCCCGCGCTCCTTCTGTAAAGATCACCGAGAGGGCGCTCTGGTTCCCTCGGCCCTGGAAGGCCGGCTCTGCTGCTCGGAGCACGACCCCGAATCTCCTGTGTCGGCAGAGTACTGGAGCAAGATCAAATGCAAGTTGGAATCGCAGGATCGTGGAGAAGACCTGAGAGAATAAATGGGTGGTGATTTCTTTTTTTTCTTTTTATTGAAATGACAAAAAGAAAAGAAAAAAGGGGAATCGGTGACGCGTTAGTGGAAGAAGAGCCGGCTGCGGTGCGCGCGGCCTTGGCCTTCAGCGCTGCCTTACTGAAGTGCGAATGGGGAGCCGGGTGGCGCGGGCAGGAGCAATTGCTGGGATCTGGTTCTGTTTTGTCAGCTTGCGGCCTCTTCTGTAGCGGGCCAGATTCCCTTGGTCTTTTCTTGCCTTTTATTGTGCTTCAATGCCTTTGCAGCTGGAAAAAGAGATGTCTTCGCTTTTAGAAGAGAAAGTTATGTTAATGAGATAAATTTGAAGTCTAGGATGTGTTCCTTGGGTGTAAAAAGCAAAAGTAGCCATCATTCCTTTATTTATTTTCTTTTTTTTTTTTTTTTTATCTTAAGAAATGTAGTCAGGTAGTCTGTTCAGTGTGCGTGTGCGTCTCACGTAGGAGCTGGAGCAGGCCCTCTGGAAAAGGCTCTGATGATCTTCATATACCTCTTTGCTGAGCAGTAGGGAGGCTGACTTCTCTTTCCCTTCAGAATGTCTTTCATAGTTTCAGAGAAGGGCTTTATGGGAGTATTGGATCTGGCCTCTTGAGAACAAAATGCCTCAGTGGATTTTACCTCTGTGGTCTTAACCTAGGTGGGCTTTATGACGTGATAACTCTACCTAGAAAGGAATGTAATGTGGTTTTGGGTTTTGGAGAAAGACAGAAGGGGGTGCGTTCACTGAGTTGGAAATATTTTCCATTGATCGTGGACATTTTTGATGAAGTGTGTTTATGTGGACGTGAGTGGTCATCCCCCCTCTATCCTGGCACACTGACAAAGGCAGATAACAGGAGACGAGAGGCCCAGACCAGACACTGTATCATACAAGCACCATTTTCTGTTCAGTATAGTGGAGCCCCCTCGTCCATCTTGGAGAGAATTAAGGGCATTTCCTCTCTTGTCTCTGCTTCCCTGTCCCAATCAAACATTCCCTTTGTCAGCTCGCTGGCCGCTCAGCCATGTTTCGTAGTGGGAACTACACAAATGAATCTGAGCTGTATCTGAGTAGGTTTCTTGGTTTAGTTCCTAATTTGGGGGGCAGAAGGGGTAGGGGCAGCCCCAAGTTCTATGTAGACAATTTATATCTCGTATTATCTAGTAACCAACATCGCCCCCATTGAGGAAGGGGGACACTTCTACAGGGTAGGTAAGAGCCACACAAACACACTTCGTTGTAGGAAGCACTTAGGGAAGCTCCCGAGAAAGCAGCGTTAGCAAAAATGGTTGGTGGTGATGCTTGGATCTCACAGATGCAAGTGTACCAAGGTGTCTGCCCACAAAATTCACTTGCATTTCATGTTTAGGAATATGTATATTCCAGTATTCCTGGTATGAAGTAATTAGTCATGTCAGACCTTGTTGTAACACTGTGCTAAGTAGAAGTCTAGGGCTAGCTTGAATGAACTATAACTTTCTCTGTGGATTCTGACTGCTTACAGTTGCTGATACCTGGTAGCATTTATTTTCCCTCAAGAAGTTTCTAGGAACCTTATGAAGGTTGAGAGAGTAGATGCTCGGCCACATTCCTTCGGTTGTGTCACGCGTGTTCCTTTTTTCTTGTCAATTTAGAGTTCTTCTCTGGAAAAAAGAAGAAACACTGTTTTGTGCCTCTTTTTTTAATGTAAATGTGTAATCGTACTGGGTTTTCTCTTGTAAAAAAAAACAAACAAAAACCACACTACACTTCCTTTACTTAAGCTCCTAAACTGCCATTTGCCTGATTCCAGCAATTAATTCTGAGGTGACTTCTTGGGCCTCCAGTAATTCTATTGATCAGACATGGTCCCAGAAGAAAGAGCAAAATGGAAAATGCTGTACGTGTTACCAAATATAATTGCTATGAGTAACATGAAGTACAGCTTCACCAAAACACTAAACTCTTTGCAACATAATTGCTCTTGAGCAATTATATGGTTTGATATCCTTTTAAAAAATAATTTAAGAAAATCTAGGTTTTATCATACTAAAACTTTATATATATATATATATATATATATATATATATGATAGATGTTTGCTTTTTTAAACTTACTAACATGAAGGATTTCCTTTAACATTCGAAGTGCAACTCTTGTTGAAATAGTATCAAACATGAAATCTTCTCTCCTTGCTTTGTTTCCAACTCAGTGCTATTTAATATCTGAGGACTTTTCTACGGTAAGCCAGGGTACATCCTCTGCACTGCAGGTACCTTAGGTTTAAGTATTTTTATGCAGCTTCTTCATTGTGTTGTGTTTGGTTCATGTATCTGTAACAGCTCTGCTGAGATTTCATCGTTTTTGTTGGGGGTGGGGGGTACCTAATAGGATTGTTCTGCCATTTCAGAAATCAGGGTAGAAAACAAAGTGGCTAACCACAGCTCTGGAGTCTTTGTCCGTGACTGCTCTTTAACAGTCCGAAAAGTGGCTTCGGTCCTGCCAGTGCCAAGGAGCTCTCCTCACACCTCCGTGGTGTCACTCCTGACCTCTTTCATGTATTTCCAAGTTGCAGGTGATAGAAGCAGAGAGGGAGAGAGAGTTGCGCTCACTGCGCCTCGCCAGTGAGGTATTCCAAAAGACGTGTCTCTCTCTCAGGCTTAAGTTGGTATTTGTTAACTTTTAAATCTGTATGTGTGGTCAGAGCATAGATGGTTGGTTTTTATTCTTGTCCAAAAATGAGATAGCTCATGGCAGCATGGGATAATGGTGGTATTTTTTTTTTTAGCCTCCTGTTAATTCTTTGGAAGAAGAAGTGAATGTAAAATTTTTGATCATCAGCGTAAAGCTTCAGAAATCAGACAGTAACAACTACAGAGGAAATCCTGGAAGCCACCAGGCGTGTGCAGTGCAGGAAGGGGCTGGACCCCGGTCACAAGGGAGTCAGGAGGGCCGCCTGGGGCTGGGAGGGGGTGGCTGACCCTTCATTCCTGGAAGGCCAAAGCAGCTGGAGGAAGTGATTCACTCCTGTAATATCTAATCAGGGCTAGAGTCAGGAGGGAGGTGGGTTTTATTTTCATTTTTATCTTAACAAGTTCCTCCTCTACCTTAATTCTCAAAAATGATGGCCTGAGCTATAGAATAGGCTGCCTTTTAGAATCATTGAAACTTGGAGCTGTGTGTTCAAGTCAGGACCATATCTTAAATAAATAAATAAATAATGGCGGGGGAGGGGGGGTTGGTGGCTGCTCCTAGCTCCCTTCTGCCATTTCCACAGACTATTTGGAAACGTGCTTGTGAAAAATGTTTTGAAATTCTGAGATAATCATGTAAAGGACTCTCAGGGCAGGCTGTTGGACACGTTTCTTTCATGGTTCATGAAGTAGAGTTTCCTTTTGGACTAGTCACGTGGTCTGTGCTCCACAGGGCCGGACCCAGAGCTGCAGTGTGGAGGGTGGGGAGGCCGCTGTGCAGGGGGGAGTCTCTGGACTGCCCGGGACTCGTGGCTCGTCCTTCACTTCCTTTTAAGTCCCACGCTCTTCCTTTAGCATTCACCTTAAAGTCAAGGTGCTGCCACATGCCACGTCCCTACAGGGTAAGGAAACGAGTTGCCGTGGAGTCCTCACGGCTTGGGAATCTTACATTTGATGTACTTCTCCGTGAGGTACCATGACCTTGGGAAGTTGCTTGATCGCTGGGCAGCGCAAATTCCGCTCCACTTCCTTCTTCCAAGGCTGCGGCATCTGGCCGCCCCAAGTCGTTGGGCCTTGTTGCTGCGACTTGACGAGATCATTGGGAACCATTTCCTTTGGCCCAGAGCCACCTCGAATTGGTCCCTGGTTATCTGTAAACAAAGAGTAGAACTCCCAGTTTCAGATGAGCTGGGGAATAGATGTAATTAGACAGCTTTGCCATGTATTAACAAATACTGAAAAGTTGGGAATTTGTATATACTGAAATCTACCGACTTTTACCTGGGGCGGGGACCGGGAGAGAAGGGGTAGAATAGGGTGAGGGCGGGGACTGATCATGTTTACCACAGGTACGAAGTAGTCACTTTAACATTGAGACCTCTGCCTCATTGAATTCAGGTTTTTTAAGTACTTGAAACTCTTCAGATTCCCCTTATTTTACAGTTATTTTTAAATTTATGAAGTAGAAAGCATTGTTTTGTATACTGTTTTGAAAACAAATAGCCTAGTCTCTTATCCTCTTTAGCTTGGATTAAAGGCAAAGTTCTGCAAATGGGAGAGGGTGTCCACAGCAGATATCTCAGATTTCATGTATGCATTTGAGGAAGAGACTCTTGCATGAAATACCAGCAGCATTTTTATGAATATCTCCTATGTATGTCCTTTATTTTGTCATTTTGTCAGCCCTATCCCCGTGCACCTCCTCTTTCCTTTTAATATATATGCCTGTGTAGGGAAAAAAACAAAAATTTGCACTTACGTTGCACTCCTGAAATGCAGGGTGTAACCTGCGTGTTTCAAAAAACATTTCCGTTCTTTTCTTGTCAGTCCATTGCTTAGGTGACAAGTTCAGGTGCTTGTGGCACATACGTGTGAAAGGGGAGGAGGAGGAGAGCGACCTGTGCCTCAGTAGCCCGTGCAAGTCCGTTACGTGTAAGACAAAGGGAAAAGATACACAGTTGCCAAAGTCATTTATTCAGCCCCTAGTTTTCTTACGTGACCTTCTCCATCTGCGGATTAGCAAGAAAGCACCCTCGGGTGCCAGCGCGCCCTCTCCCTGCCTGCTGCGGACCTCTGACTCGAGCTGGTGGCTCTCAGCAGCCAGCAGATCCCCGAGATAAGGTATTCGTAAGGTATTCTTGTCAGTTTAGGAGTGGACTGGATAAAATTTACTTTTCTACTTTTATCTCATTTGTGCTGTCACATACCCTGTGTCAAAAAAGAAAATCATATTGCCTCCGATGACCAAGATGCTAAATGATGATTACAACTGGCTAATAATTAGGTCCTTTTTATATACAGGGGTGTGTGCATAATTGGAATTGGTATGAGAAATTCATTTGTAACCACTTGTGATATTGCACAACAAACACAGATACCTACAGATTCTGTTTTCATTTTCTTGTGATCTTTATCTATGATAATGACCTTTGTAGATTGGTTATTTCTGTACTTTGTTTATCTGTAATAAACTTTGTAGATCCTGTGAAATGTTATTTTGCCTAAATCACTTGAGATTTGAGTCTTTAATAACAGAGCATCAATATTCACTAAAGTCAATCTCTTTTGGGTTTCTGTGGCTTGGCTAGAAGCTCTTGACACTAAGGGATTAGTGTTCATTTTCCCTGGGGGGTGTTCCACTAGGGCATTACTGTATAATGACTTGATGTTGCCACATAGACTTCAAGATACATGATATTTTGGGGATTTTGTTGATCGACCTATGTTTTACTGCATAGTGTGAAACGTGTAAAGCTTGGTTAACCTGTATATAGATAGCTTATTGGTGACTAGTTACAGTACATTTAGGATTGCCTGTAATTTTAAGCTTCTAACTACTGTGTGTGCTGGTAGGAACATAAATTTTTGTACATTATATTTACTGAGATGTTGCCTTTTTTTATTTGACAACTACTTTGGAATTCAGACGTGTTTTTTGCTTCCGTGAGGATTAATTTGGAAAGGTTCTTAATGACATTCCACTGATTTCAGATTTTGCTTGAGATTGACTTCAATAAATTGTCCTGTATGTTACAAATTAAATTGTGGACTTGTTCATTGCCTGTCATTTCTTGCCACAACTACTGGACAAGGGGTCATAATGGGAGGGAGGGGACCCGGCGCAGGGCTGAATGGCCCAAGATGTGCACCCTGAGGGGGAGGGGGGCGGTGGGGAGTCCGCAGCACTGCAGGGCCCTTCGGGATGTCCCCGCCGCTGCGCTGCGAATAAACGTGGGGCCGCACTCGTGGGGTTTGGTTTTGTTTTCATAGAGGTGAGGTCCTTGGAGAATGTCGCTCCCCGCTTGGCGTGGTAGGAGAATATCGAGGCACCGACTGGTTGGCGAAGGGCGCCACGGGGATAGATGTCCCTCTCATCCGGTCGGTTTCTCAGACTCCACGGAGAAACTGCTGCTTGGCTGGGCACCGGGAGCCAGCTCCCTGCCCAGCACCCTAGAACGGCCCCGCTTGCTCCCCATTCCTTTGGCGAGGTGCTGCTCTCGGGACGGCGCCGGAGCCTCCCCTCCTGCTCCCGGGGTTGCCGACCCGCCCCGGCCGCGAGGTGGCCGCCCGCCTCCTGCGCGCGCAGTTCCCCCGGCGCCCGCTCGCCCGCTCTGAGAGCAGCCGAGGCCCGGCCTCCCGGGACGGCCCTCCAGGGGGCGGGCGCGCACCCCGCAGCCGCCGCAGCGGCAGCCACGTCAGCGCGGCGTCTGTCCGGGGCCGAGCGCAGGATGGAGAAGGCGGCGGCGGCGGCGGCCCTCGGGGCCGAGTTGGGCGTGCGGATCGCCCTGTTCGCGGCCTTCCTGTAAGCGTCTTGCGGTCGGACCCCACTCCAGACGGGCTGCCGACCCCAAAGGAGGCGGGCAGGCAGCCCCTGCCTCGGCCTGGGGCTCCTCGAGCGCCGCCCGCGGGCCAAGGTCCGGGGTCCCTAGGTCGGAAGCCCCGGCGGTTCCAGGAAACAAGCCGACAGGCTCTGCACATTTTTGTTTCTCCTTTAGGGTAACAGAGGTTCTCCCTCCCTTCCAGCGGCTGATCCAACCAGAGGAGATGTGGCTTTACCGGAATCCGTATGTGGAAGCAGAGTATTTCCCTACCAAGCCCATGT